CTTTTCGCTCTCTCTCTCTCTCTCTCTCTCTCTCTCTCTCTCTCTCTCTCTCGTACGTTCTTATTCTTGTTATACATTTTAGCAGCGGCGATTTAAAAAGTGGATTATGTATATCCTAAAATAAACTGTGTCTTCTCGGTCATAGTCAAACTAGGCTGAAAATATCTCGTTACAAAATCACACACACGCAAGGATCGCTAAAAAAGTAACGTGCTCTCTTTTCTTTTTTCATAGACTTATTATATACGTTTAATTTTTAGCCGCACACAAATCGTTATATTCATGTCATTAAATTCATATAGATTTAGCATGAATCGACTATATCTTGTTAAACAAATTAATCGTATCATTAAAAAAAAATATCTTGAACAATTTTATATTTGATATCGTAAGATTTAATATTATATTATTATTTATAAATTAAAAATATTAAAGAAATTAATTAATTAATCTATAAATAATTGATTAAAATATCAAATGTGATTATTATATTAAAATTTAGAATTTTTTATTTATAACAAATTACTATATTCATTGATTATTTATATATAAATATCAATTACATAAAAATATTGAATTGCTTTTAATATTTTTATTTTAAATATATTATATAAATATTCTGTATTATATATTATATTTACTTGATTTATTTTATATTAATTAAAATTAAATCATTATAATGTATATAATCAATTGAAATGATATATAAGCATATAAAACTATTTCATTCACAATTCGTAAAAAGAATAGATTCTGCTAATATGCATGTATATCTTGCCTATAAAATAAAAAAATATTAACCAATTTATACAATTTTAATTGTATATGTAATAAAATATTTAATTGTTCATATCCTAGTAAATAAAACCAATATATCTTGTATATATAGTAGATAATATTTGTAAATTATGTACTTTTATAAACATTATTTGAAAAATTTTAAGAATTACATTTGTTTTTAAATGTACCAGTAATACGTTTTTATAATCAATATGCCATTTATAAGTCGAGTAAAATTTTTGTATAAGATTTATATTTATAATTATATAAAATTTTTATTTAGCATTTATAATAAGGTTATGTTGGTAGGAAAAAAAGAGCATCAGGTATTACACGATGAAATATTATATAACTATTATGATCATGTTTAAATTTAACATCTTTATCCACTAAATAATATTAATAACTAAAAATTTTATTAAATCAAATTTAAAAGATTATACCTATTACTTAATAAAATACTTGTAAATTTCAAAAGTTAAGTTTCAAAATTGTAATAATCTTAAATGTAAAACTAGATATTTTTATTTTCGTTAAAGAATTGTGTGATCTATTCCAAAACTGACTTCATTCAATTTCATTCACAATGGTAATACGAATATTTTTTCAGATATTGAGGATATATATGTAGATATATTTCTATTCTATAGTCTAGAATTATATTTTTATTTATCAATATATAATTTTTCATTTTATTGTACATTTTTTAATTATTATTTTAAACTTTTCTGTAATTAAAAAATATAATAATAATTAATATAAGTTTGTTAATTTAATAAATAAAAAATTTTTATTACCATTTAATTCAATTTTGGAAACTTGGAATTTATGGTGAAACTAGTAATGTATAACCATGTACTGGTCATAAAAAGGAATATTTAGAATAATTTTTTTTACTAGAAAATATTAATAAAAATAAAAATATTATGCGTCTAATCAAAAACATATTTTATGAATATATTTTCACATTCACTAGTAGATTAAGAAATTAAATAATGAATGATAATCATCTTGTATAATATATGTTTGAAATTATTACTTTATTATACTATATAAATTATTTATTGATGAAGTAAATATACTTGGTTATAATTTAGAATTATATTTAATAATATAATCGCAGAAATTTAATAATTTGTTTGATGAATTCAGAATATTTGTAATAATTAGTTTTTCAACAGAATTAAATATAATTTATATTTTGTGCTATATTAAATAAAAACAACCATTTTTATAACAAGTTTTATTTAATGATTTTTGGATTTAGTAGTAATACAATTATACAATATTGCTGTTATTTATAATTATTTAAGTCTTTTTTACTGCATTTTTTTGGTTGAGCTTTGTATTACTTAGTGAATAAATTGTGAATACAAAGAATAATATTTTCCCCAATTGCTTTTTCAAATGAGTAAATTGACATTATTATTATTATAATATGATAAATTATTATATATTTATAAATAAATTATATTTATAAATGTAATAATGTATTCAGTTTAGCCTTCTTGTATATAAACTCGATTATTATTTTATATAGAAATTATCAAATTTATTTATTAATTATCAATAATCTATTATTTAACAAACTTATTGCATGAGCATACTTTACATACAGATATCATAATTTATTATAGTGTTGAAAGGATTATATGAATACATAATACGATATAACATAATTCTTTTGATAGTGATCTATAAGAAAATGCAATACTAATTATTAAAAATACTATTCTTTATAAATATTAATATTATTATATCTTCACAAGATTAATTTTCATATAAAGAAAGAATTAAACAAATGTAAGTTATGTGGAAGAAAATAAAATATGTTAAACTAGTAAATAATTAATTTGGTGTAAAAATACAAAATTAGTCAGAATAATATTTCAAAATATTGTGTTATTTGAAAGCCTTTCATTATATTTTACAAAATGTATTATGAATTCTGAGAGTATATTTTATTTAATTTGATAAACTACCTAGTATGTCTATGTACATATATAAATATTTAAATGATTTATGTCAAATTGAATATATAGCGTAAATTATTTTTAAACACCTAAGTATGAAGTCAGCATTTAGAATGCAAGAATGCAATGATGGTTTTTTGCGAAGAAATATTTGATTACAAAAAAAAATATTCTGTAATAGTATATCACTATTTTTTTATGTTAACATGTTAAAAAATGTATTAATTTAATATATTTTATAAATTAAGATATATAATTTTCTTTGACATTGATTTGTTTTGAATTATATTAGTTCACTTGATATGAACATAAATTTATATAATAAATTTTCAACAACTTGTTAAAATCATAAAAAATAATAAGCTTTTATTAACGATGAATGTTTTGTCTTCAAAAATGAATTTTTTTATGTTGTACATTTTTATTGTAATAAAATTTTTTTATGATCATTTCGATGAGATAAAGTTTTTTGTTTAAGAGAATATTCTTTATTTATAACTTAGAGGCAATAGTTATACAAAATGTTTACTATTTATAGATCTATTTAAAAATAATATTTTAAATGTCTTTAATAAAGTAATTCGTTTGACATATTTTTATCGAGAATATTACATTCAACAACTTATTCTTTATTATTAAAACGATAATATTTTAGTGTTCATAATGTTAACGTTCATTTGCATTAAAGTTCTAAATCCCTGATTATTAAATTTATAAAATATTTTATAAAATAAACAATTAATATAATTGAATACGTTGTCTCCAAAGTCCGAATGTAATATCAACTTTATAGTTATAAACAAGATTCTATAAAAATCGGCGTTACCTTTATAATTAACATATGCATTATTTTGAAATTATTCATTAATTTATTTATGTAAGAAAGTACGTAGTTAAGGATTTTGTAAAAATATTTCCTTTTCTCTCTTCTTTTTATACATTTCTGAGTATCATTTTTGTTTATAACTGAACCTGTCAATAAAGTAGCTAGTTAAATTGTTAGCTTGCAAAAGACAGTGTATATTTATAAATAGATCGAATCCATTGCTTTAGTATTTCAATGAAATATGAAATTAAGAAGTACTCGATTGCTTTTATATTTAAAAACATTTTCACTCGTTTATAGTGAAAAGCGAGATTCCGTCTCAACTTATTTGTAAATTTGCTTAAAGAGGAAGTAAAATATACACATCCATGCGATCGGTGTACGCAAACTGCGTGCACTGGATGTCCAAGTTAATTAGATCCGCTGTGCGCTAAAGTCGCTCATAAGTGTGTGCGTGTGTGCGCGCGCGCGCGTGTGCGCGTGTGTGCGTGTGTGCGTGCCTTTGGTGGGTATAGAGCGTACTCTTGTTTGGTCTCCTTTATCGATTTTCATGTCCGCTCATTCAAAATTACTCGACCTACCCTTTAAATATATAATCAATGCACTCTCATACGCATCCACTCGTACGTGGAGGCAGAACTGTCTCGTATATCCTTTTAAGTTGTCATGTGACGCGTGCTAAGGCGCGAGCCCCATTGCTCGTTGGTTTCGTCTACTTTTTCCGGTCCATCGTACGACGTTTATAGAGCATACGGATATGACAAACGGCTTAACCTCTTTTTCGTATGGTAGTTTAGCGAGTCGAGTCCGCGGGCTTATTCCAATTTTACGTTCGAGACAAAGGCATCCACAAAGGTGAAAATAAATTTAAATTTAATGCAGCACCGAGAGGTAAATGCCCGCGCTTCTCCGTGGGGAAAGATAAAAGGGTAAGTGGAGCACCAGCGACCGAAAAAAGAAAACGGCGGAACGCCAACGATGCGAATTATATAGAGCTGTTTTCGCGCATACGAGAACGAACGTTTTGCGCACCTGCTTTAACACGGCTGCTCGCTAATCCCCCTTGAAACAACGTCCATGCGACGTTCGCGCCCATCCTCTTTCAATTTCACCCGATTGGCAGGCGACAAACCCATCCATCACGATCTTCATTCTCTAAAGCTCGCTTTATTGTACAGAACCTGCGTACGTGGGAGCGCTCATATGTAGGCATAGAGGCTGGCAAGCGGGCAGGAAGCAGCTTACGTAGCGTATGCATACGCACGCGCGCGCGCGCGCGAGCATTCGGACGTGTGTAGAGGTCGCGAAAGGGAGAAAGACGAGGATATCGAACGGGCTATGGGCGCCTATCGTTCGCCTTGGCCCAATGTCGCGAAGCGGACGAGCGAAGGCAGAGGAGTGCGTAGGATGACAGTACTTACAAAAGGCTCCTCTGAAGCGAGAACATGGTGGCCAATGAGCTGTACCGTAGTCTCTCGCCGCGGGCCACGAACCAGCTGATCTCACACGCTCGCCTGCCTTCCTTCCTTCTTCCTCCGACCTCCGTCGGATGTTCTTTCGCTGCGCGCGCGCCCTGCTCTGCCTTGCTCCTGTCGTCGTCTTATCGCGAACCGGAGTGAGACGGCGAGCGCGAGAGGGTGGCAGAGCGAGCGAGCGAGAGAAAAGAGTGAGCGAGACAGCTGATGCAGCAGTAGCGACGGCCTCGGCACGTCTATCGCGACTGCGCGCCCGACTCGATTGCAGCTGCCGCTCTGTGTTACGAGAGCAGACGCCCCGCCGATACGTGTGCGCGCGAATAAGTTCCGGCTGTGTCTCTTTACCTATAATTAAGCTTTTTCATCTGTAACGTCACCAGGCATCATGACGTACACCGAGTATGCAGTTTTATTTGCGATGGCCACTCTGTATGTCGGATCGCGCGGTTTACCTACCGGATCACCTGCTTAACTCATGAATTGTCACATCGTATAATACCAATGGGGCCCTATGTTAGCGGCATTATGAGCGAATTGTTGTTATAATATGGGACACTTAGCTACCTTACATAGGTAGCCGGATAAATACTACACGAGAGCCAATAGTTTTAATAGGCCTATCCATTAATCACCCCATTAATACTAGTAATGTAGAAAAAAACAAAAAATAAGCAAACAAAAACAAAAATAAAATAAAAAAACTAACGTTGAAATAAAAGATTTTGCTAATTTATTTTGAACCGTTCAATGATTTTTATTGTTTTGACCGATAGCATTGTTAGCATTTTTCTGAGCATGATATTACTAAATATACGTTTTCCGTTTATTGTGAAATTTTCAAATTTATTCAAAGAAGAATTTGCTTTCTCATAAAACAATAATTTCAAAAATTCTTTTAAAAATGACTCCTACGGAAGCACAAAACAAATCACTTTAATATTATATTTTTCTTATTTTTCAATTAAAATCATTAAACTAACTTATAATAAAACTAACTTTTTAACTTACAACTTATTATTTGTAAAATTAAGGATTGCAAGCATAAGTTGTAATTTTAAATGCATTGTTATTTTTACGAGAGCTTATTTTTATTTTAATTTTTAAGCTCCCTTATATTAAATAATGACAGTCATATTAAATAATTATATCCAACAATTATAAAAAAAAGAAGAGGATGCGGTCCAAAAAAACATATACATTTAAATAATTAATTATTTTCCATATTACTACATCATTTTTAAATTAATAACAAATATTTTATGCATTTAATTGCCTGTTAAGAACACAATTGATATTGTGATCACCACTGCTTATATTACGAGTATTACTAATTCTATTGTTTATTAAAATTAATATTTTATGATAAATATGATCATATCAATAGGAAGTTCTTTTACTGGATAAATTATAATACTTCATGGAAGACCGTTAAAAATTTATGTAAAATAAATATAAAAAAAAATGTATTTATCACTATAAATAATGAATATGCTTTGCTTTAATCATAGTAATCATTTTTATATTTCTACTACAAATCAGTCGTTATTTTTTTTTTAAATAAATATTAGGTGATAAAATAAAAATATTTTTAATTGGATAATATTAATGTGCTTACTAGTATTTTGTTAAATAGTCAATGTAACTATTATAAATTGCTTTGATTCTGAAATATCAATAATAAAGTACTATCAAATATAAAAAATATAATGCAATTTAACATAATATAATATACTTATAGCAGTAAGATTTATACAAATATTAAGCATAGAAGTTTCTGAATATACAGTGTCGTAAATAAGTTTATATCAACGGCTTGCGTTGATTAAATTACAGTTCAATTTAATGTAATATTAATGTACGTGAATTTATCTCTTATAATTTAATTTCTATATTGTTAAATTTAAATACTCTTATAATCGAATTTAATTTCTGTTTAAATTTTAAATTGCACATTTTGTATTTGATGTTTATGTAAGTATTATAATACATACGATAAAATGAATAAAAAAAAAAAAATTTATAATCTTAATAGAAATAACTAGTATGATAATACCTACTATGATTATCCAAAATAATAAGTTCAAAAAATCTCAATTATAAAAAATTTACACAATAAAATTTTTAATTACTCTTGATTCAAATTATTATATTGAATTTTCAACTTTTAAATAAATAATGCATTACATACAGAGATTAACATTTTAAATAATATCAGCCATTATTATTATTTGATACAAGTTTATATTTTTCAAATTATTAGTTTACTAAGTACATTTTGTGTGGATGTATATATGCATATAATCTTTATAATAATTTCGTACACTTAAAAATGATTCTTAATCATAATAACATTATTAAATCGGTTTTACAAAGTGTATTATAACATTAATTTTATAGTATTTGACTTAACAATGTGTAAAATTATAACTATATTTATTTGTATAAATAACAAAATTGTAGTTCGAATTATACCATCGTCGATGTCAAAAATCATCACTTTATAAATAAAATGTATGATTATTTTTCTTAATTAATAAAAGAGCTTCGATTTTGTAAATATAAATTTAAATGAAAAATAATTCTGAAGTTATAGAAAAAGCATTTTTTGCATAATCAAACTAGGTTTAAAAATTACAAATAATTTATTATTATTTTTATTTTTTACTTTTTAATATAAAATCCTTTTTAATTAATAAGATAAATTGAAAGACACATAAAATAGTAATTTTCATGAAACATATTTTCATGCATTGTAATCAAATTAACAAAGAAATTAATAAGGTGAATACTACTTAAATTATACAATACATAGACAGAAGTATCTAAAATTATCATATTATGATTTCTATTTAGTAAATGAATAATTCATTTATATTAGTTTTATATTATTATATATTTATTTACTTTGTACATTTAATACATGTTTGTAGGATAATATATATATAATAAACTATTCAGATATACGATTGTCTTTATATTATAAAAGAAACTTATGATAATAAAAGGTTATTTGACATTGTTATTCTTGTTATTATTGTTATTCTTTCACTAAGTGTAAAAAGTTAATAAATTGATTAAATATTTGCATTTCTAATAATTTTATGAAATTTATACAAATACATAATTAAATTTCTCTAATACTTTTAAATATATGACTGTATAAAGTTAAATATTGGTTTAATTATACATTTAGTACGATTTATTGAATTTACAAATAAGATTTAATCCTTAGCATTCATATGCATAAATAACAAATTTTTAATTTCTTAATATAAGGAAATTTGAGTTTTCAACATAAATTATTTTATATTTAATTTTTTGAAACTGCATAGTATTCTTTTGTAGTAATAGTTGTTTAGCATATGCGTATAGTATTTTTAAACACAGCAAATAGAAATTTCATTTTTCATTTTTGACATAAATTTATCGCGATAAGTTTTTAAAAAATAATTATCGAACATATCCATGCAATATGATGATGACTAAAAATATTATTCATAGAGTTGAAAACAAAATTATGTAAAAAATTTATTACATCATTTTTAAATGGGTGTATGTATATGTGAAGTATAAACATATTTATAGAAAATATCTTATCAAAATTTTTATACTTATAACTTAATTTAAAAAAATATTTTGTATACTATTACTGTATTTTTTAAAATCGTTTGTTTAATTGATTGATGATGAAAATGTTGGTCAATTATTCCTAAAATATGAAATTAACAGTTTATGAAAGTATTTACTATTTAATTATTTACATTTTTAACATATTACATTGGAATATTTTGTTCTAATTCTCTTTTTATAGTTTATTTTCTTTAAAACCCACAATTTAGAATATATAACTATTATTTCTCTCTCTATCATTTGGGTTAAGCTTGAGATTCAAAAGGTGCTTAACATGAAGTGTGCGTATGCATCGGCTTTGATTTTTAGTATTACAAAGATATAGTTGTGTATTTTACATATTTATAATAATGATATACATATGTAATTGTTCGCTATATTCAATTTTTCAAATGTTATTTTTTTACTAAATCGCAATTGAGTATATAATACACATATACAATAAACAGACATCAACAACAAATTCTAAACGTTGTTATTAAAATTTCATAAAATTCATTTTACATACTATAATAGTTTAATGCAGACAATTTTTTCGTTCAACCTAATTTTTTTTTTAATCAAATATATAATAATATATATTATGAAACCTAATAAATTGTTTTATTTTTATTACCAGAACTCAATACACAATTTATTGCTGATATAATGAAATAAAGTCCTGTGTCCTGTAAAATTAACATAATTTTTTGTAATGTATTATGCGCATAATAAAAAGAAATATATAATTATGATTAGTGGAGTTCTTAAATTAATAGATTAAAATTTTGAAGCAAGTAGCTATAAATATTTTTTGGAACTTTTAATTATTTCAATATTAATATTAAAAACAAGACTTTACTGAAAATTAAAATTATTATATTTCTTTAAGAAAAATAAAATGAAGTATTCAACTAATATTTATATATATATATATATATAATATTAATCTTTAGAAAATTCTTGACCATAAATCTGTATTGATATCTGTTTTTTGTAGTACTATATTCAAGGCTTTATAAAGTATACCCGACAAGATTTTATAATAATTTTTATCAGAATTTTATAATATTTGTAAATATAAAAGAATATTAATGTTTTTATATTTTTTATTGATATTTTTTTTATCTTAAATAAGTATTATTACACAATGAACATAGTCTATTTAATATTTAGATCATATTTTCGAATTCAAATTGTAATTAAGAAATAGTAAAATAAATTTTATAATCTTATTACACATATATTAAAGTATTCATTATTTTTAATTAATCTCAAGAATATTCGATAATATTTTTCTATCGAAGAAAAGAATTTCATTGTAAAGTAATAACATAATTTTTTATATATTATGAAATATAAAAAATTTCTCTTACAGTAATATATTAGAAATTTTTCTTTTATGTATTTACAATTTAATTATTTGCAATGACCTAGTAAGTATAGTAGTAAGTTTATTATAATTTTTCATAGGTTATGTATTGTGTTGTAACATGGTTTTTTTAAAGCAAATGATTTTATTATTAACTTATATGAAATCATAATATATTGAATAAATGTGTAAACATTAAGACACATTAAATAGCTTCAAACTGCAAAAAAATTTATAATGTTAATTATATATGTTAATATTATGAACACATTGAATAGATTTTATTTTTAAATATATCCTGAAAACATGTGTATAATTTGTTATTTATAAAAGATTTTAAACAGATAGTATTAAAGATAGTAAATAGAGATAAAGTATTATTAAACTTAGACTATGGATATTACGCTAATAGAAACTTTTGTATATATGACTACACAAATTTATTTTAATTTTATATTTACAGTTAACAAATTGTGTTATTAAATATGATGAGGAGTTTTTCTACTTTGTATATATGAGATTTGAAAAAAGATAAAATTTTTATATTACTAAGATTAATTAGTAGTATTCGAAACGATTCGGGATACTTTCACGTGACATAATATGCATGTTTTCATATAGAATTTATCAGATAATAGGTCATTTTTTAGATAATTATTTAAGTGAATGCTGAACACTTCTAAGGCCGGTGTTTGTGTAACTTTCATTTTAATAGTCTTCTCGCAATTTAGTATATAGATATTGTATATACGAGGCACGAATTTACATTCACAAAGAGTATCATAAAAATTATGAAGCAAAAATAAAACTTATCTTGGATATTTTCATAAATTTAATTTTCGTATGTAGTAAGGAATATTTTTCTATAATTGAAATGATAAACAATGCGCTTAATTATATATTATCTATAAGTATAATTTTAATTAAGGATCGAAATGTTAGAATTATTGTTAATTATTTGCATTGAAATATTATTTGATTGAAAAATGTTAAGAATGCTGTATTGTATTATATAATATATTATATTTTTGTAAATTATATTTCCTACTTTATAACTGTATTTCGATTAATCATATTCAGCTAAATCTAATTTAAGAATAAAAATATAGTTTTTCTATTCAATAAATTTTTAAAAACCGTATATGGATTGATAATTACATGAAATAGTTTGTAATTACTCTTAATACGATTTATTAGAAAAAAGTACCTTAAATTAAGCATGCTCACAGATAATATTTGATTAAATAGTGTTGATATTGTTTTAAAAATTTGTATTTTATCAAAAACTGGAATTTATTATAATTGTATTAAAACTCTTAATCATCTAGTGATTGACATTTTATACTGATAAAAAGAAATCAGTATTAATAATTTTTAAGATATTTGTTAATATTTAATAATTGTTTATAAATATAATTAATAGAATTTATACAAATTTCAATATATATTGATAGATAGTAATAACATGGAAATGCATAAAATATTAAGTATAAACAATATTTTTTAAAGAATTTTATTAATATTTTAATATAATTATATATTCCAATAATTATAATTGAATGTTATAATTATCAATAAGTAATAATTTAATTGAATCAGCTATAATAATTCAAAAAATTCATGTTTTTTTATGAACGAAATAAAACACAATTTATATAAATAATAATTATAGAATTGACCGAGAATGCCGATTTGTTTGATGAATATAAATATTCATTATATATAGCTTATAAAGATTAAACAATAATTATTAAATAACTATTGATAAATACAAATTTCGTAATTTCTATTGAAAAATGTACGTATATAAATATATAAATATATAAATACCACATAAAATCACTTCATACTATCGTAATTATACGTCATTGCATTAAAAAAAATGTGTATCATACGGTGTTTTTAATACAACATCTGGAATTTGAACGCAAAATCAATCGTTAATCTTATAACAAAACAAAAATTATTTAAAACAACTGCAGTTGTTAATCTTTCAAATTTTCAATGTGAAAAAAAAAGGAATGACTTTAGGAAAAATCTTATTTTTTATATTCTCTATTGTATATGCATTTACATACATACACATATACACATCACATTAGAATTTAATGTGTATGTATATATGACACAGTGTTTTTGAATTGACGTCTATTAATGCATACAAAAACAATTCTTTGTGGTCTACTTAGTTGGTTTATCTTTTTTTAAAGATATATGAAGAGGTAGGGAGTTGATGTGTTAAGAAAGTCGTTCAAATTGCGGAATATCATTTTTCTGCGTCTTTACCATTGTGGTTTTAGTTTTTATCATGTTTTGATCAGCCGCAAGCCAAGTTGACCAGGACAGGCGCAAATATCAATGCCAATGAATAACCTGCAACATAATTAATTCTGAATAAAATGCTGGAATGATAAGTAAAAGTTATGGGTGATATAGTGAAAGCAAAAATTAACAATAATTAGTGAAAGCAAAACCTTGTATAAAAAAAAATGAACAAAGTCCTTTTGATCCTTTTGGGCCTTTTGATAATTTTTACTCTGATATGTTTAAGTCTACTTCTATTATCAAAAACAATGAAGTTTTATATCATTTAGGTTTCATTTATTATATTACTCATACAAAGATTTTCTATTCTTATTCAAGGAAACATACGGTTATAAAAGTAATAAAATGAATTAAACGTAAAAAAGACCGTTTTTAATTATAAAAAATTTGTTTTATTTTTATTTTGAATTGTTGTAGTTTGTACAAATTCAATTCGATATTAATTTATTCAATATTTATATAAAAATAAATATATATAATTATTACAAATATAATATCAAGTGTAATGATAAATTTTAATTGTTTTTTAAGCGGTTCTTGTCGGAATTTTACATTATTTTGATCGAATAAATTTGTTTTATCATAATATACAATATGAGATTATATATATATATATATATATATATATATATATATATATATATATCATATTGCAATATTATACTCAATATTTTCGCATACGAAGTTAAAATATGTTGTTTAATGATCCATTAAAAAATGTAATCATTGATAGTTCAAATATTAATTATTTTTAATTCACTAATTATTTAAATAATAAATTTAATTAGTATAATAGTTAAAAATAGTTTGATTAAAAGTAGTATAATTTTTATTCAATATGTATGGATTTTATATTCGTAATGTTAAGAATAATTAGCTTGTATAGATTTTTAGTTATTTTTCATTAAATGATATAATATAGAATCTAAATTTATTAATATCTGATGAAGAAATATAAACGATTACTACTTTTTACTGTAATCTACTTAGCATCTGATCAATATTATCTGGATGTAATTATTCAGCATTAATACTGAAGGGTTACGAAATAACTGTATATTATGTTTTTTTTTTTAATATTAGGGGTAATTTTATCATTTATGAATTTTAATTAACAGACACAGGAAATAAGGTATGAAATTTTCAAAACATTTCTCTACATGAGCAAAACATTTTGTTCATTGTAAATATAATTTTTATTATTTTAACAATCTTGTTAAGATATGTTGTACCATCAAGTTAAAACTTTTTCAGTTTCCGAAAATTATATTACAAACAAACTAGAATAAACAATATAAAGAATTTTATTATGTTGATGCAACTCATTCTTTAAACTTATTTCATTTCTTAAGGAATGAATTTAATATAATCAAATTTTAATATTATTATTTACAGGGATTATAAATTATCTATAATTTAATAATCACTGATTTGATTATAAATGTTTTAATTATGTAGTTATAACTATATTATAATATTATAATCTACAGTTTTGATTAATGTAGATTGATAAAACTGAATTTCTTACTGACTGTACTGTATGTTTCTGATTTTTTTGCAATTGTTAAACTATAAACATTTTTTAACAAATACTGAAATGAATTGTAAAACGTGAAAATTTATTTATATTTAAATAAGTTGTTCATAAAATTGAAATAGCAAAAAGTATATGGCCTAAATATGACAAAAATACATTAAAAATTATTAAATAATCTTTTAGATATGAATGTAAAAAATATTGATTCATTTTTGGTTAATCATAAAGTGTCTTATTTTTATTTTCCACGATTAATAAACATTTTTTTTTAATTTTATTTTTCCTTATTTTCATACGATATCTCGGAAAAGAAAATCGAAATAGAATATAGAACAAATTCAAATTGTAAGAAGGAGAAATGTAATATTTTTTATTAATAATAAGTGAGGATTGTTGAAGTTAAAAAAAATATATATATGCATAAATTAATGGAAAATTAAAGAAATATTGGGAAATCAATTGAAAAAGTCGAGAATATTAACAAAAAATCATAATTAAAAATTTGAAGTGTTCTTTAAGATATATTCGGTTTATTTAAAGCTTTTAACTAATCATTATTTATTAAATTTTTAATTTAACATTAGACGCGAAAAGAACATTATCATAGCTTTGTATTGTAACTATTTCAATTAAAAAATAATAAGAAATTGAATAAAAAATATAAAACTTATTAAAGTTTAAATTTCTGTATTATTTACTGAAAATAATAATTTTAATCAGTTTCTTTATATGTGTATCACACATTTGATCTTATATTACGTGTAGTATATAAATTATCAAATTCTTTCAAAGCAATTAATTATAATATATTCAACGTAAAAGGTGATTATATAATAAATTTAATATTATAAAAAATTCAAATATAACTATTGTAAGATTTCTTTTTCATCTTTTTCTCATTTTTTAAGATCTAGAAATTTATATTTTTAACAATAAACTATTTAAGCTCAGATATATTCTTCACAAAAATATTTATTCAATATCATAAAATTCTTGAATAAGAAATAACTAAAAATTTTTGTTAAGAGTTTCATTAAATTTTCTTTATAATTTTTTTCCTACAAATTATTCCATGATACTTTTTCAATCACACCTTAATTTCTTTTAAATAATTTTTATTTCAGTGGATTTGTTTATATATATTTTTATTAGGTAAATATGATTGTACTTAAACAAATTTTTCAATTTACATTATAATTTTTGTATTACACAAAATACTTAGAATATTATAGGACTGGGAGTGTTTGCCAACATTGGCAAGTTGGCTATGTTTACAAAATGCAACTAGAAGATTATCGTGTTCGAGTTAATTAAGTTATATGTCTGCAGTTCAATGAAGGTCAATTAATTGGTATAAAGAACAAATTATAAATATTAAAAACAAACGAACAAATAAAAAACATAAATAGGTCATCGAAAACTGAAGGATCAAATTTAATGGTGGCTAAGGAGAATTTTTGAAAAAAATTTTTAAAGTCAATGAAGGCTGCTAATTATATGTTTTACTGTAATATAAGTGGGATTTAACTTGATTTTATTTATCCGTAACATTCATTTTAGATATTTGCTGAATGTTACTTAGATAGAAAATAAATTTTATTAATCAATTTTATTTAAAAATGATTTTACTATTTATACTAAATAGAATACACACAAAATGTAAATAATGTATAATAAGCATTTATATATCATTCATTCAATTACAAAACTATGTGCAGATATATTAAATTTTTTTTATTTACTTTGTTCGTATTTTTTTTAATTGTATTATTTTTATATAATAATAAAATTTTCTTAAACATACTATAATTAAGACAATAATTATAACAATACAAATGTTAATTGTAAAAAATTTTTTGTTAGTTGACTGGAATATTTATTATTATGTCTTATTAAAAAAATAATAATATCTTATTTATATTTTGTATTCTATATATTTTAATTAATCACAGTATTTATATAATGAAATTTTGTATGCAATGTATTCACAATGTTTAGATTAATTATAATAAGCTTACAATAATCTGATGCGGCACTTAATGGAATTTTAACAGTTTTGTTTTCTTCTTCATTGATGAAAATATAACTGGCATTGAAACCTGTACCGTCTAAGCGATCATTGCTTTTAAAGGTCAGGCGGAAGAAAGAGCGATCAGATTCGACATCAAATGCCTGCAGTTGGCCACAGTGTCGTGAGTATTTCCGGTCTCTGGACAGGTAATTTGAAAAATCTACGAAATCACTCGCTGATACAGCATCACAACTATAAAAACGAAATAGTAATTCTAGTTTCTCTAATATTAAACTATTTTCAGTTTTATTAATTCAAAATCTTACGATGTATAATTTAACATCAGTACAAAAATTAATTCACTACAACAAGTTTCGCAAGGAAATAATGAATAAGTAGAAACTATAAGCTACATTTTTTGGTTTAAAATTGGAAAATATGCGTGTATTCAAATTTGGACTATATTAAATTAAATTAAATTATTTTTTTTTACTTTAATTTTTTACTTTAACATTTTTAATTTATTATTATGGTACTTTCTGTTGTACATTTATGTTTAGCATCATAACCAGTAAATATTAACATTAAATTAGACAATAATTTTCATTTTCTAATGAAATATTAGAATTTTTTTATTAAAAATCTAGTTTTATACAAAAATATATTATTCAAAGCATATTATTAATATATAAAATGTATAACAGTTATAAATTAAGTGAAAAACTTAAATATATACATTTTATCCATAAAATAATATTTGATGATATTATTTTATTTATGCATGTAAATAGCTTAATGATGGAAACATACGGTAGAACACCTTCCACGTCAAAGTAATTAAAATGAAGACGAACTCGTTCTTTGGGTTGTCCATTAAAGAAATAATGGCATTCGGTATCACGTGGATAAAATCCTGGATAATTAGGTGATACAAAGGTTCCATTAACTGTCTCATTGCTGTTAAATACGAAGGCACAGGGATACGATGGCTCCTGCTTGCCCGTTGTAATACCAAAATCTTGAAAAAAAAAAAAAAATTTTATAACATATAAATTATGTAACAGTAATATATTAATGATAAATTTTAATTATTTCATGTGTGATCTTAAGATTATTAATGAATCCAGTATTTTGATTATTTTAATATAAAATAAAATATATAGCAATATAATAAAAATATTAGCATTATATATATTTAATAATTAAATAAAAATATATAATTAAAACATTCTTAATAAAATCTATTTTATTATAAACATTCTTTATAATTATTATATTTTGAAAATGGATTAAAATATTAAAATTCATTAATATTTAATATCAAACAACATTCGTGATTTTTATTTGCACTGTACAAATTACTTTCTATACTCTACTAACAATTTTTAAAGTGCGGATACTGTAAGATAATACATAATTAATATATCATGATTAATAAAATAAAAGGTAATATAATAATAGGATTATTAATAAAAAAAAAGGTGATAAATTTACTTATTTGTATTCGATACAATATAAAAAATGAGATATAACTAACAAATGGATGAAATTCTAGAATTATTATTAAATTTTGTAAAATAAAGACGACATTAAATATTAAAATATACGTTTAAAATTTAGTTAGGCTCTTACAAACTTTAAAATTATGCAAAAGTCGTATGATTTCAAAGATATGTTTATCATGGATAATTTTAGTAATAAATAATAGTAAATTAAAATAATTCTGAAGAATAAATAGAATTTCAATTCTAAAGTTAAGAGATAATATTGTTTCCTATTTTAATGTTCAGTTAGTATTCCATCTTGGCTCTAGTATAAATTTTTACTTATTCTGGTTTCATAATTGACTTAATGTATATTATGTAATGCATCTCTGTATACACTCATCATTATATGATTGTCGACCACTCTAACACAATTATAGGATTCAAAATTTATATATATATATATATATATATATATATATATATATATATATATATATATGCTAAAAGAGATACTAAGATATGTGCTTAGGTGCAACAAATATTTATTCAGGTACTTTAAATAACTAATTACTATGTTTTTATATTAAATAATTTTATATGAATTTATAAGAATTTCTATATAAATTTATCATTATAAATAAATTCATATTTATCTCATTATATTGTATGTGACATTCAAATTATCGATAGCGTTTTTATATAATTTTTATATAAATTATTAGAAATGTAAGTTGAGTACAAATAATTACATACAATTATAGTTAAATGGGGGAGGTAGAATCTGATCATCTCTTTAATTATCTTTTTTCTCATTATTGTTTGAACTGTCATTGAATGATTTATCGTAGTCTGTGGTTTTTCATGGAGAGTGAAAAATAAATAGAGAAATGGAGTATAGTCGAGTAAGGCGGAGAAAAACTAAAGAAAAAGCTATATAAAATAAAATTAAAATAAATATATAATGCATAAATATAGATAAAGAAAAAAAAACAAAGGCATTGAACAAGATAGAGACGCAAGATTGAGAGAAATATGATTTTTATACTGTGAATATTTATATACATAGTTCTTTTCGCTTTGCACAAATTTTTTTAACCTAATTTTCATATTATAAATTTTTGCATTTGCATTCAATTATTATTTAAAAGTATCGTTTATTGAAAAAAAAGATGTTTTTTTGTTAAAATACCATTTATTTTTATTTTAAATATATTATAGTTATTTTGTTATTTTACGTTATCATTAATATTCAAATTATTACACGTTATTAATAAATAATTATATATACAATCAAGAATACAATTGTAACAAAAAATATCATATCGAAGTAATTAATTTATAAATGCACAAAATATTAAGCAATACAGGACACCTTGAAAATTGAATGTTAATAATACTGGAAGCAATAATTTTTTAATTTTATTTACATCATTATATATTTTTTATGATTATAATACGATTTTATATAAAATAATATAATTAGTTTATTAAAAATTCAATGTAATATCTTTTGATGATTATGATTATTGATAATAATTGCAGCTATAAAGACGATATGCTTTTTGCTTACAGTACAAAATTTTTATACTGTTCAGACATATACAGTTACTTACAAAATACTATTTTGCAACGTCACATCCAACCGTATATAATGGGCGAATTGGATTTTGATAGTAAAATAGCAAAGTAAACACAAAAATAATTTTAATCTACTAATAAAATAATATATAAGTATTATATAATTGCAGGAGGTGAAAGAATGAAAGCGAGTTTTATTGAATCCATAAAATTTATAGTTTTCATGAAAACTTCAGTAATACCTAAGATTTAAAGAACGTTGAATATAAATATGTGTAGATAATGTTAAGCGTATAAAAATTTGTTAATTTTGCTTGAACTTCCTAAAATAAACGTAAAATAAACAATTTTTTTATATTATGAATGTTGCGTATTTATATAGACGTAAATAAACAATGAATAAAAATAGTTCATGTTCGAAAATGCACAATTTCATTATGTTGTATTTAATATAAATTAATGAAGAAATTTGATGTTTATTGCTGTAGATATTTAAAACTAATTACATGATCTATGAATACAGTTTAATTAAAATTATTTAAATTCATTACCTTTAGTTCATATTATAAAAAATATTGCTGTGAAAATAATGCTTTTTACGTCTTCTAATTATTATATACAATATGAAATTATTATCCTATGTTAACAAAATATAGGATAAATTAGGCAACACAATGAAACTAATACAAATATAAAAAACACTTTACAAAATAATATTTTTAATTTAAAAAAAGATATTATGTTTTATATAACATTATAAAAAACATTTGATATTTATCAGAATAGAATTTTTTTTTAAATGCTTACGTATTTTTTTTTTATTTTTTAATATAATAGTAAATATAAAATAAAAATTTCTTGTTTTATAAAATCATAATTTTTCATGTATATATTTAATATATACTACATTTTTTCCACAATTATATATATATAGATATATATTAAAAATTGAAATGCGATTAATATTAGAAATACAATACAAAAAAATATATAAAATTTGTAATGGTATTTAATTTAATATTATATATGATTTTACTTCAAGATAATGAAAATAAGGATTGCTAAAGAGAGATTACATAAATGAAAATTCACAATCTTTTATGATCTACACGAATATATTAAGCTTAGCTTTAATATAAAGCTTGGCTTATTTAATGAATGAAAAATTATTCCTTCTATCAATGAAGGAAATAAATAGATAAAGAATTTTACTTTTTATATTTAATACGCAGAGATAATCTTTTAACGGAAATGTCATTTTTCTCAATTTAGTTATTGAACAAAACAAATTGTATACTATTAAATTAAAGTATTAGGAAATGATCGTTAAAAAATATTTATTCAACGAAAAGAAAATTTTTTTTTGATATTATATATATTTAGTTATATTTTGCTAAGTTTATTCATTAGTATGATTATATTCAATACTTAATAAAAAATACTTAAGAAATATGGCTCTACTATACAATGAGCGTGTCAGTTTCAGATTTAAAAAATGATCTAAATTTCAGATGAAATATTGAAAATAAAATTTTATTAGAAATTATTGAAATCTATTTCTAAATATTTTTTATTTATTAGTCTATTATTTATGAAATTAACAAATAATTTACAATTAGTTTTTTGTTTAAATGTTTTTCTTAATTATAGCTATATATAATAAATACCTATAAAATTATTGATTAAAATATATGTAAGAAATATAGGAAAAAATTATAAACAAAACAAAATAATTTATGAATATAATAAATTTATAGTTTTATATTTAAATTTTTATAATAAATAAGGTGAAAATTTGTTAAATAATTAAAATCTATAATAATTTTAATGTATAACTACATATGATTTTTTTACCTTTAAAATTATTTATTTTTATTAGAAGACTAACTTGATAATTTTTAGTTTAAAAAATTCGAAATTTATTAGGGGTTACTCGTACCAGCGCGATAAACATCGTCTACATGGGTTTTATATTATAATACTAAAAATAATCCAGAAACATGAAAAAGAAAGGAGGATATAAGATCAAAGAAAGTTTGATTAGAATTGAGTTGAGCTCCATAGGAAGATGGAAAAAAGATGAAAAAACACCCTATGCATATTGTTTTCTTGAATTTGAAAAATTATGAAAAATTAAGGCAAATTATCGAATCGGAAATAATATACTTGATGATAAAGATTTTTTATGCTCAAAATAATATGTAATTATAATTCTTGTTTATATATATTCTTAACTAAATAGGTACTTAACACCATTCGTAAAAGTAATGTACTTATTATTTTGGATGAATTTGCTAAAAATTTATTTTAGATAAAAAATATTGCTAGTAATTGATTCATAATTACAATAAATTAACAAAATTGTAACTTATTTATATGTGTACCGTTGATAGACAAGTTTAGGATTAAATAAATATAAACATTGTAAATCTACTTGTATATATTTTTATAATCTATTTACTTTACTAATTTTATACCAAATAAATGCATTATTTATATATTTGTTAAAAAATATTATAATGTCTTTTTCTTGTTCACTTTTCAAATATATTGGCTGATTCTCGATTTAAAAGTTTTGGATTTTAAAGCTACTATTCATAAACAATAACTAAAGTTTAAATATAAAATCAACTAACATACTCAAATGCTTTAAAAATTTTAAATAAAAACGATAATTGATGAATTCTTATAAATATTATCTATATAATATTAAGAATTAGTATTTTTTAATAATATAAATAGTTCGAATATTGTATGTGCACTTTCGAAATTAAACATATTAGTACTTCAACACCATTTATCCTGATGATCCGATACTTGCAACCTTTACAGAAATATACATTATATTTAATTGTATAATAGTTACTGAATTTAAGAAAGATATCTATAGAATAATTATGAATATCTTATAATTACCATAAGTAAGTTTTAAAAATAATAATGACATCATGGACGTTTTTCCAATTAACCGAATACATGTTTACACTTACTTTCTGTGAAGAAGTAAGTTGCCTTAAATCCGCGAATATGTCGAGATGAGGTGAGTCCACGGAATTCAAGAAGCAGACGTGGTCCATTACTCATTAATGGTCTTGGCTGCGTTTCACCACAAAAAGACTCTATCTTCTCCATTTTACCATCAATCAAGACATAGACCATTAGCGAATCCGTAGATTCGCACCTGTGAATTTTCAATAAAATGAAAATGAAAATATCATTTTTACGTATGATTACAACTAATAAATTTGAAAAAAAGGTACAGAATTTTTACGAAACTTATCCTTTCTTTTGATTTAGAAAAATTGTAATTAATAAATAATTTCAATATTTTTTTGAGATTTTTTTACTTAATTGTTAGCATCTTTTACTATTTTATAATATCCTAAATAGTAATATTATAATTTTAATATAAAATTTTGTTTTAATATTTTCCTTTAAGTATATAGTAATTATTTAAAAGTAAAATATTATCATTAACAATATTGTGAAACAATATCTTATTAATTAATTTTTTTTTTTTATTAAATTTAAATCTTACCATTCTTATAAAATATTATTACAATAATATTATAGCAAACTTTTAATGAAATAAAAAAATTTGTAAACAAATTATAAATTTGCATAGAAGCAACATATTTGTTTATATAAAAAAAACTTTTTAAAACAGGAAAACTTGAATTAAGTTCAAATTTATTTAATAAGTTAGTAAATTATATTTTACTGTTATTTAATCAGTTAAATATTCTGTATAACAATAAATTAATTTCTCTATTAAATTTGTATATACAAAAATATAAATAAATAATTAAGAATAGAGTTTTTTAAATTATTATCCTAATGAATTATTGCCTAAATATATTAGAATTAATTAGTTGTGTATATATATATATATATATATATATATATATATAAAGACAGAAATACTGTGAAAGAATGATAGAATATTTTTTATATTGTAATAATACATAATAAGTATATCAGCAGAATTTAAAAATATTTTTTTTATTCATCGTATATACAATAAATACTAAAAATAAAACATATTTAATTACATATCTATATATCAATGAATATTAACTAATCATAGACTAATAGATAGATAAATAAATAAATAAATAGATATATATATATATATATATAAAAATAGAAGGAAGAGAGAAAGAGAGAGAGAGAGAGAGAGAGTTTTGTACGTATTGCAATAAGTTATTAGAATGGAATCATTGAATATATCGAATACAATAAAAGGAACGCAAGTTCAAACTTAATTTGAACTTGCCAATATATAGATTGCAACATAGTATTACAGGAGTCAACGATATAATTAATAATTAAGTGCGCAAGTGCAATGTGCGATGGTTTAAATTTTCTGAGTACTATGATAAAATTTACTTTCAAAGTACAATTCGTATTTTATCGAATACAACACCAACAGTTTACTGTTAATGATAACAGGCATTATTTGTTATTTTATAATGTGCATATAGTTGTAAACTTTATATATTGTACGAAATTAGTTATTTTAGTTAAGAGACGAGCAATGTTTCTAGTCAGTCTTTTATATAAGAAACTATAAATTTAGTCATTAATATAATGCCGATTATAAAGAATAATTTATTTGATGATGAAATTCATTGAATCCTTAACTAGAAATAATATTAATGAATATTAAATGAAGTAAATTGATTATTAAAAAAAAATCAATCGCTTCTACTTTTCATATGAAGCATATAACATTTATATGAAATTAATATTAATAATATTAAAAGTAATAAAATGGATATAACATTTTTTTTTTTAAAGATTTATATCGTGTACTTTTCATTTTATTTATTTACCTATTAAAATATTATGTAATGATACAAAAATCAATCGTCTTCAATTTTTTCAAAATCATATAGAGTTACATGGTAATTTAAAATGAATTAAAAAATAATTTTATCACTGACATGACGATTGCTAATAGAATATCAATTCAATCTGAATATACTAGATATTTCGAAAATTTTATCGATGAGTATATTACATGATATATATAAAAACACAAATATATTCAAACGATGATATATTTAATAAATTATTTTAAATGTAATTGAATTTAATTTTAATTATAACTAAATTTGATTGTAAGATATAAATAAAGGATAAAAAATATAAAAAATCTGTTTCTAAATATTGTATTTTAAAGCTACGTTTAATAATTGTAATGATTATAAAAAAATGTATTTTTGTCAAATATCATCACCATATTAAATATCTTGTAATTTTAATATAATTTATAATTTTACTTTATAATTATTTTACAAGCAATTATATTTTATTTGAATTAAGTAATTCTTAGTGATAAATTCTTTGACATTTTTATTAATTTAGCTAACTATTTTATTTAGCCTAATAAGATTTAAGAAAGACATATTGTAAAGAAATACAAGCGCACACGACAATTTTAATAAGAATTCATTCATTCAATTCTTATGAACATTTCTTATTTATATTTTCATTTATAGTCATTATACATACTTTTTTGAATCCTCGTGCGACCGATAGACATCGAAATCTTGAAATGTTATTTGAATTCTTTCCTTTCCTCTACCTTGAAAATCATATCTACATCTAGTCCTTGCTGGATACGCATTCGGATAGTTGGGGGAAGTAACTATTCCTGTTTTCGTCGTGTCACTGTTAAATATTATATCACAGGACGATGCTGCAAATAGAAAACATTTAAATGTAGAGTCATAATAAATTATTTATAATATATAATTAATATATAAACGACAATTATTCGGTTATAACAAATTTTCTATAAAAATGAAATAATAGTTTTAATGATTAGTTTAATTTTTTTAGTAATAATTTTTTTATTATATTAATACACTCTATTAAAAGCAATAATTATTTACATGTAATATATTACGCAAGTCAGGCATTATTCAAACTAGTTACGTAGTCTTTCTCATGCTTATCGATATTTGGATAAGTATTTTATAAGAAATTGCTAAAAGGCTGAAATAATTTGAAATTATTAAATTAATCAAGTATTTGATATTAAAATTTTTTTAATAATATATATTTTTAGAGGATTTTATTGGTTTGAGGGATTTGAACATTAATAACATTAATGCGCAATTATTGTTTTGTTTAAGCCTATTATGTAGATTAAATATTAGAAAAATTTATGTTTACTGATATAGTCCAAATTAAAAATGCTTCGAAAATTATGATATTAAAATGATAAAATAATAGATAAATTTGCTACACTCATTAACAGGAGTAAAAATTTGCTTATATGATATGATAAATGATAAATTATAAATAATAAATGATTATATAATAAATGATATGTTAATGATTATTTATGTATTTTTAATTTATTATTAAAAAATATCTTCTCCAATGTAATGTAATCTAATATTTAGTTTTTTCAGTTAAACATTTTTACTGCAATTACATATTAAATAATTATAAAGATATATACAATGAAATATTCAATTTTATAAATTAAAATCAATTCTTCATTCATAAATGGCAGTTTTTAGAAATGATTTTCTTTTATGAGAATTTAATACTGGATATTAAAGCCTAATTAATCTAACCTCTTTAACATCAAAATGAATTTATTAATTGACAGTATCATTAGCCTGTCAGTTTACTCGTTCTTCAAAAGCAAAAACACTAAAATTTATACGTCAACCAAATTATAAATTTATTCTATTATTCTATCCTTTCTATTTTATAAATTTATTTTGATAAGATAATACAGATTCTCAACGGTACATATCAGTGTAATACCTAACAAACTTCATTTGGGATTTTATGAATGCCAATTAAAAAGTCTTCGTATTATTTCTTATTTAATGTATGCATACACGATATTAATATATATATATATATATATATATATATGAATGTATGTATGTATATGTGCGCATGTGTGTGTATAATAGGAAACAGCTACTAGAAAAAAATATTAAAGGTAAATTTTCTAACTACAATATTTGTGTAAATAATTTTTTTAATAAAAATTGCTTAATTTGTAAAAAAGAAATATATTTTTTACTGTCTAAATTTTAGAACACTGAAATTTTTCAGTCTTTTCAAATTAAAAAATCTAATCATTTTTTACTTCTGAATTCGTCATTATTACATCTGATTATTAAAAGTAATATAGTAACATAAATAATTCAAGAAAAATATTTAATAGTACGAACAATTTTGAAATAAAATATGAAAAAAATAACTTACAATCATAAAACAAATAGCTTGAGAGATAATATTTTTTATTTCACACATTGATATAATTTGTAAACATGTATTCAATAATGTACATAATTAGAAGTGGTAAAATTTGTAAACATTTAATTTAAATCTATAAGTATTACTTAATATTAATATATGTAATAATGGTATCTTATATTAATACAATAAAATAAGATTATATAAATTAATTTTATCAGGAATATTATAAGGCAGTCATAATTAATAATATTTTAATAATATATTTATTGTATTTTACAGTGATAAACTATTTGCATCTAATATATCTATTAAATAAATTTACTACTTTTTTTCTGAGTACTATTAGTAAAAGAAACAAATAAGAATCACTATTATTGGAATTTATCTCTGTACATATATTTAAGTATATAAATTTATTAGTATAATTCTGTATCAATTACCTAATTATAATTCCTGAAACAAGTCAATTAATACCGTAACGTCATAAAATTTGTATTTTAAAAAATTTTAAAAACTCGCTAATTAAAAAGATAAAGATGTGTAACAAAATTTTTATAAAAATAGTATATATTATAAATAAAAATTATATATTTTGAATCAATAATTTATTACATTTGATAACATTGTTATATTGACATCAATAATCAGTAACAATGATAATGTTAATAATTGTTATAGTTAATAATTGAACTAAATAATTAACCTAATTATATTCTCTATCAACATTTCATAAAAATAGATAGTAAAATTTAAACTAAATATTTAAATTTCATAAATTTAAAAAAATATGGGTATCGAAGTAAGTTTATGAAAACTATCCTAATGAAGGAAGTTATGTTAAGAAGATGTTTGTTGTAACAAAAAAATTGTTACAATACATGAAATGTTGACAAGTGAAGGTTAAAAAATCTCTAAATTAAACAATTCTTACATTATTTAAATGATCTATAAATTAGTTATGTATATACAAACATTTAAGTTCATTTATAAATTATTTGAAATCCATTATTTTATACGTTTTATTTTATAATAATTACTTTTTATGTTGTATTACAATATATTTTTTGTATATAATATAGTCCAAAATGCTGAATTTTAAAAGATGTACTTGATTGCTTTTGTTAAGTGAAAGTTTTAATCACTGTCGCTATTTTCGTTATGTTCGAGTTTTAAAGTTTTATAAAAAGGTTAAAATATTATTAATAATATGAAATTTTTTCAAATATAAGTATATCGCATGAGTTTTTCATAAATATTTTTAAAATATTATAAGTTTAATTTAAATGTAATATGATAATTATAATATGGTAACCAAAAAAATTTACTGTACGTTGTAAAAAAGACTATATTTTGTTTCAAAATTATTTCAACTAAATATGTTAAATACGTAGAATTTTTTATTTATACATATATCACTTATGAAATATTTTCAGAAATAAAATGTAATTTAAATGCCCTTATAAATCTATACTTTCAATACAGTTTTGTTCATTTTTCATCCTTTATATACATATATTTTTAGATACAGGTCGCTACGAGCTCGATAGGGAGCCTAGAAGAGGTAGGGATCAGAGGAAGTTACAAGTTGAAGAAAATATCTACCTTCAAAGCAACAGGATCCACAACAGCAATGCTTCAACGAAATTGTTTAAGGTAGCTACTATAAATGAAATTATAATACTAAATTGTCTTTTTATAATTAGAATAGTTTTATGATTTTTTCTAGATTTTCCAATTTGTGTTAGAAATCTGTTTAAATACGATATTGTTACACTGTACTATCATATATGATGTCAATTAAAAAATTGTTAATTATTTATATAAAATATCACTTAATACAATGGATTTGCTATTGTTTCTATTCAGTAGATTAAGTAACGTATTATTATATACAAATAACTATGTATATTTTAATAGATTTAAATAAAGTATTATATTTGTAAAGAGCATCTTGTACTACATACCTAGTTATTTTAGTTTTTTATAAGAATCATGTTGTACAAAATTTGATAATAATTAATAATTAGATATATCTAGGTAACTATATAATAGGAATAATATATTTAAACAACTTTAAAATGAAAATTTATATTTTACTTAAGGTAAAGAATTTTAAATATAAAAAAGATAAAAAAATAATAAAATTTCTTTTTTTTACAGTGAAACCAACTTTAAATTGATTGTTTTAGTAACATTTATATGCAAAATTTAAACTAAAAAATAGCACGAACAAAAATAATTAATATAAACTTTAATCTTGGTGTATGGTAGTAGTACAATTATAGTACAATTATACATACAATTTTTTGGACTTGTAAATACGATTTTAAATCACTGAATTTGATATGAATATTTATCTATGAATTTAAATCATTTTGAAGAGATAATTTCATATTCCGATATACAATGTTTCTTTAAAATATTTAATTATTTAATTGTACTACATTTAATTATATTATATTAATATAGATATATACTATATTATTATTTATCATACGTTATTAGTATTTATTATATTATATTTATTATATAAAAATGTGTATATATTATAATACAATTATCTTTAATATTTTAGAATAAATTATTATATACCTCATTTATTAATTGTACCGACAAAATCATAAATATATATATGTCATAAATTTTGTTTAAAATAATTATTTATAGCGGATATCGTTAAAACATCAATTATGTCTTTCAAATTCAAGTAATTAGTTGAATTGATTAATGATTTATGTATTAAATTTTATTTCATTTGAATTGATATTATATTAATTATGCTTGCTCTACTACTAAGCTACAGCCAATTCATAGAATATAGCTTTATCTTTTCATACTGAATTTTTAAATATGTTTATTATAATATTTTAACATAAAAATTTATGGCATATTTTAATTATACAATTGATACGAATTGAAAAAAATTTATAATACCAAAACATAATATTAATAAAAATGTAATTAAATTGTCATCATTTAAGGTTTAGTTAATTTGTTAATCACAATGTTTATTATTTAATTTATGTATTCATCTTCAACTGCTTAAAAATCTGGGGGCAAAAAAAGAAATCGTCTATATTAATAACATCTAAAGTGATTCAGTTGGAAATCCAAATATATTTGCCGTATGATCATTTGATTTGTTTACATCTAATACTCGTACTTTATGAAAAATTGTTATTATAAGGTATTTATTTTCTTTATTAAATTTTTGTTTCTTGATTGACACATTTTGTAAATAATTTATCTCATTTCGCAAAATGAAATAGAAAGATATTGAGGTGCGTGTGTGTGTGCGTGCGTGTTTGAGGGAGGGAGGGAGAGAGAGAGAGAGAGAGAGAGAGAGAGAGCGTGAGAGAGACAGAAACGATTTTGCGTATACTAACAAACGAAATCAGGATTGTACATCGAGTCAACTGGATATTTTTATATATAAACTTGCATACATATACATATTTAGCTACTATA